CGTCGTATCATTTCGTACAAATTATTATTTTCTTGGAAAATTTAAACATCTTTTTAATGAAATTTTAGTAAATGATGCAAAATTATATTTTGAAGTTTATGGTAAACTCCAAAATGAGTATTGAAGGAAAAAACGATGGATAAGGTGCTTGTGGCATTGATTTGACCTAAAATGTGTTTGACCTTGTTATATATACAATAAAATATCAATATATTAAAAACAAATAATGGTTATTTTAGTCTATAATAATATAACAGTAAAAAATGCTTTTATTTTTTTTAATATATTGATATTTTATTGTATATATAACAAGGTCAAGCACATTTTAGGTCAAATCAATGCCACTAGCACCTTTGGAACTGACGTTGTATCCATAAAATTTCATAAAAATTCTGGCCCGCTTCGAGATGCAAGTTCGCTATAACTTTTGTTATACAAACTAGTTGTACAAGTAACAATTACCGAACGAAGCGGAAAATAGTGTTAATATATAATCTGGTTTTCAGTCATTTCCAACAAAGAGTTATAAACAAAAACATCTTTTTCGTTCCAAGCGTTTGTTTGTAGGATACAACAAATACGACGCAGTTTTGATCAACGCTGATGTGGCGATAACATAGAGAAAATAAGAATCCCTAAAGATAGCCTAATTAATTAAAAGACTTTTTTTCTTACTGTCAAACCGTTTGGCCCGTCCAAAATTATCTCGGTGTCTCTTTGACAAGACTAATTAGTTGGACTACCCTAAAGAAAGTCCAAAACGACACAACTGAAAATGTTGCAGGCTCGGTTTGATTGAGGCTGTTCATGGACGGTACTGTCAAGTGCAAACTACCGTCCACACCCGCTAGCACAGACTTAAGCAGAATTCAACATTAGAATGAAATGGCAATTTTTTTTATGTAGAAATATTCGCGGATGTGTTTGTTCATACGGCGGTTATCACGCACCTGTGAAACAAAGGGGGACCACTGCGTAGGGGTTTGCTCGTATGCAGCAACAATGACTTCCCTTGGAGTATACTCCACGTTCTCTCGTCACGGAGAACATGACAAAAACTTAAATATCAGGATCAATAACACGAATTGTACGTAATTTGGATCAGATATGACATGAACTCATTGTGTCCGACAGGCAGGGCATCTCGACCACGTTACTGGGAGACCATTCCCCACCCACATTCACTCGGATATCCGTTCATTTGTTCATCATCTCCATGTTTCAGCTTCATTGCACATTATTTGTGCTAGCTGTCGGTTTCTGATCATTTCAGTCGTAAGACTGATCATATAAGATCAAATTGTGTAGGTTTAAAATAGAAAGAAACAGAAGAAAATAGCGAGAGCAAAAAGAAGAGTGTGCAGAGCAAGAGAATCGAAAGCGGAAATGAATTGATTCATGCGTTTGTTTTTCTTCAAGTTCATATCGTAATCGAACAACAGTTTTTTTTGTGAGAATCATGCAGATCCATCGACTGATCCATTGAAAAATCATAGACATTCAACAATTGTTTAATGAAACACCACATTTAGAAATGAAATTTTCATTTGCTGAATTATAGAGTTTAATTTGTACCCCCACCCCCACCTGTACCGATTAGGTTTCACTTAACTAGTTAACACTTAGGATGTAATTGTCGATGCTCCGGCGTCTGTTGTAAACAATTGCAACCCTTTCCCTAGCCATTTTGAGTAAAATGACTTTAGCCACATAGTGAAATTCTGCGTCGTGATATTGCTTTATCCAATGTCACATCGGGTCAGATTACCATACTCATTCCCAATGGCAAATTTGCTCCTGTAAAGAACATTAATTCCCAACTGAACTGAAATTCTCAATATCAAATATATTATTTTATATTATTAAAATGGAATCCTTAGATGGACTACAGTGGTAAATTGATTTGCCGTTCACAACCCTTGCACTGGCTTAAATCAACATTTTTAACACGAACATAGTGTTTAATTAAAAACTTAGAAATATAGGTGTTCATATTGCGGGAATCGTTGGAAATTCAACTGATACACTTCCATCCGTGCCAAAGTCGTACACGTATAGTTCCCTAAATTAAAAGGCTAGTAATAGACTACTTGTTGCCTAAACGAGTATTCATACAATGGCAACGGAATTTTAGAAACATATGCAGTCTTCTATAGATCGGATATAATTATAACATTTCTAATTCAATGTAGCTGGGGCGACTTTTCACAGCCTCTACACGGGACAGACGATGATGAGACAATAAAATAGATAAAATAGGGTAAACGCACAAAGCGGTAAAATTAAAATTGTTGCAGACTCAGTTTGATCGAGTTTTTTTCAAGTTCAACAGAACTTGAAATAGAAAATCATCTAACACTAAACCAGTACTTAAGTTCACGAATCATCCTCAAGTCGTGTCTGTATTATATCCCTGTTCATTTTCTTGTGATGTAGACTTCTTGGCCATATCCACCAGTTGAGAGTATTGCAAATTACATCGGGCATATACACTTAACAAATCTTATAAGTGTGCATGTATAAATGGTATTATAGGTGTATCAATATTTTCCAGATCATGCTGAAATTTTCAATAAATACAGAAAAGAGACACGTTATCATTTTCTATTTAGTATTTTTCATTCAAGATATAAATTTAAGATGTATTTCTAAAAAATGTTAGTGTGTGTCCAAAGGTGAACGTCGCGTGGCCATGACTTACACTATACCCCCGTTCCCCCTCTACAACCCAAAACCCTTAAAACATCATCCAAACATCATAAGTATTGATAAAAATAAATTTTATAAAAACAAATTTTGTATGACTCTAAAACATTATAAGAGCCGTGTCACGACAAAACCAACATAGTGCGTTTGCGACCAGCATGGATCCAGACCAGCCTGCGCATTCGCGCAGTCTGATCAGGATCCATTCTGTTCGCTATCAGTTTCTCTACTTGTTAAAGGGTTTGTAAGCGAACAGCATGGATCCTGATCAGACTGCGCACTATGTTGGTTTTGTCGTGACGCGGCTCAACTAATGTTTTAGAGTCATATATATTTTTTTTCATAAAATTTATTTCAACCAACGATTCCTTGTTTGGAATGTAACGTACGTTAGTATATAGGTTTTTTTAGTTGGCGATCGTCAGATCGCAATATCATAGTAGTTTAATGACTTCATATTTTCATATTATTTGGAAGGAAATTTGTCGGAAACCGATTATCATCATTGTGAGCATAAGAATGTAACCTACTTTCACATAATTTCGTACTGTGCATAAACATTTACCAACTAGTATATTATTTTCCCAATCCACAGGTAAAAACTTCTAATTGAAAGTTACAAAATAAAAATATTGAATTACAAATTCTAATATCTTCGAAAATAAATGTTTCTTCACTGTTATGGTGCTTAAATGTTTCATGATGCCATCCTAGACAATAATTCTTTGCATTTAATTCCCAAATCAATGGGTCATGTTCCAAAAATCCTGGACCCCCCCCCCCCCGAGAACATATTCTATAAATTTATCCATATTTTACGATGTGCGCACGCACGCACGTACATACATAGAGGATAAAACATAGAAGTATACAGAATTTGATCATTTGTTCATTTCTTTGGCGTTTTTATTATAATTATTAATTGTCGTAAAGAAATACGTACACAAACTAACTTTGTTCCTAAATTACAATAATGACAGAGTGACCGGTGTTGTATTATAAAGTATTGTTACAAGAAGACCACACATAATCAATTAGGTTCAATGAATTGTGTAATAGCGCGGAGTTCTGTCAACATACTTTACGTTGTTCATTAACTATATAGCAAACGTCTTCGCTACTCGTAACAACGCCGACCGTTATACGTTTATAATACTGCACGTTTGTAACGTCATTTTTCATTGGATAATCGTGACGTTTATATAGTTATATATACACGGCTGCTGTCGATTCATGAAGAAATCTTACTTGTTTTCTCTAAAAATGATGCTTGCTGTATTATAAATTCGTTATAAAGATTGTTGACAGGTTATATGGCCGTATATAAACGGCTGTTTGCAATATAACCCTCGCCTGACGGCTCGGGTTATATTTACAAATAGCCGTTTATATAGGGCCATATAACCTGTCAACGATCTGTATAACTAATAATATAGTTTTTTCTTCAAATTTCAGGAAAGTGGATCAAAATACAACATATATAATTATTGTTGAACTTTAATTAGGAAATAGATATCAATTCTGAGTGCATTGTTGTAGAATAATGCACGGTTTGAGTTCAAATGCGTAGTAATATAATCACGAAGGCCGATAGGCCTGAGTGATTAATTACAAAGCATTTGAACGAAAAACGTGCATTATTATACAATAATGCACGAAGAATTAATATCTATTTCCATTCTAACACGTCAAGAAAAAATATTATTATTATAATAAAGTTGGACTTTATGTTTGGTGGTTAAATTTGTTTTCGCCTCAGAGTTTCCAATAGAAACGTTCTTTAAAGGCTATTCCAGTGGGTTGAAAAAAAACTGTCGTTAAATCTAGATCTACCGTGTGTAGAAACATTTTGAGAATAACGAATTTTGAAAACGTTGATAAAACTTTGTTTGTTTATTTTATTTCACTCTATAATTTTTCAAACGAAATACAAATTATTAGAAGTTAAATAATTGTAAAACTTAACTCGTTTGCGACATTAAAATAGCGTTCTTGATTTGATTGTTTTGCACGTGCTGTTTGGCGCTACATTGTGACGTCACGTAAACAACACTTTAAACGTCTGTACAGCGTTATCGACTGAATTAAAGATATTGGTGTTCAGATTAATTTTCTTAGTTATACCATTTTCTTTCATTCTAGATAGTTTTCACAAAAAAATTCGACAAAAAATGTTTTTATTTATCAGATTTTTCAAACAAAATGGCGCCCTCAAAGTGAAAATACACAGGGAGATAATAAGAACTGCGAGTGCATTGTTGTAGAATAATGCACGCTTCGGGCCTTCTTTGTAGTCTAGTAAAAATAAAATATGACCCAGAACTAATTGCAAAAGTTTTGAATCTTTGTTCATTGAATAGGTCTGGTATATGTATATGTCAGAAAAAAAGTTGCACATATAACTCTGTGCACAACTTTTTTTACACGCGTTCAAAGTTCACGAATTTTAACTTTATATTTTAAGACCCGAACTGTACACCATACACGCGGTTTTTTCCTATGACGTAACAATTTTACGTAGGCACGCGCGTCATTGAAAACTTGTCATATGATTTCGTGAAACTTCCGTCGAAACATAAATATCATTTTTCATCAAAAATAGCATTTAGATGGCAAAGGTAAGTTTGTTTGTGTATTTTACATTTACTTTGATCATTTATGCCTTTTTACTTTCACAATAAGTGCCATAGTTAAATATAACTACGATTTTATGTTAAATATTTTTGGAAATAAACAGCAAACCAATATCACCAGTAAATGTTAGTAGATTTGATTTAAATAAATGATATATATATATTTATAAGAAAAAAAATGTTATTAAGACATATTTAATATGAAAACTTTGTATTTTCGACATTATATTGTTACTTTTGAAATGAACAAATTTCACGATTTTTTAATCTACGGAAGACAAAACGGGACATAATTTACGTCGTGAATATGCATTATTTTATTATAACAAGGTATTTTATTGTACTGTCGGGGACCATCAAACGAACACTTTTTGAACAATTTTCCGTACAAATTTCATAATTTCTAACCTAGACACCTTAAAATTTGACACTGTTCAGCTAGGTTCTTCTCCTAACTAACAAACTAGTTTGTTTATTTCTGATTGTATTGACACTTATATCTGAGGCTCCACAAGGAGGGTATCAAAATTACCTAACTTGTCTACACTACAGTACCATGTGTCCGGACAGATATGTACATCACGTGGGGTTTTGATTTTAGATTTTTAACATGATATACAATATTTCAGCAACAAATGCTGAAGTTTTGGATATTCTATTGTTTACTATGCAAATGATTATAGCTGGTATATGAGGTCAGGCAATGCTTTCTTGACCCCCAAATTTCAACGTCAACATTCTAGAAATAGACAACAAAAATATTATCATTTATGTAGGTTGAAATAAATTTATTTACGTAATAACCACAACCACTGAACAAAGAAAATACTAAATAAAGCATTTTCGGGGCCGTCCGGGTTTGGTGGTTGTCTGGTTTTGGTGGTCCCAAACCAGTATATAAAACAATATTCAGATTTACATGTACGTATATAAAATTTATATTTAGATATATATTTTGCATTATTAAACATGTAAATGTACATAAATAAAATCAATACTTAATTTCAGATAGGACATCCATGATTTACACACCAATGGTCATATGATGATTATCTAATGTTCAGCTGTCTCTTGTATCAAGGTGAGTCATACTTTAAGTATTATCTATGCACAATTTCTATCTATAATATATGAACAATGTGTGTGTTTTAACTTGTCCTTTTTTTAAATATGCTATAATGTGAAATGGACCACACCAGTAGCTCTTCATAGGAAATTTGCAAAATCGCTCCCGAGCTTTCATACTACATGATTGCCCGGAACATACAATACATTCCATATATGTTCACCTTCCTCGGTCTTTTGTGATTGTATACCTTACTGATTTAATATTTTTAAAAATGCAAAGTATAACATAGTACGGATATTTTTTGTTATTGCCTACATTTAACACCTATGGAAAGTAATGCCGAATATTCAAATTGGCATTGGCCAAATGACGTCACGCTTTATTAATCAAAGTGGAAAAATGAAATGAACGATTATGTCATTTGAGTATCGGTTCATGCAAAATATACTTGTTTCTTTTAAATACAAAGTTAGTATGCTAATATAAATATATGATAAATTCATACATGATTTCTCACAAAATATGTCTTTTATTTCTATAGATGATACAAGCCACATTAACAAACCATGCTGATGGAACCAATAACGATATGAAGGGCATTGCATTTCGGTATGTTTATACTGACTACTGTATATTAAATTAATAAAAACTCATGACAATTTCTCTGTAAATATACACATGCTTGCCATTAAGTTTTCGGATAAAGGTTTAATGTATTGTTAAATGCAGGGAAATAACATAGGCTATTTTAGGTAGGCTGAAATAAATGCACATTTCATACTGAATATTTCTATACTGAATATTTTTTTTCAGAAACCCGTTGTGCATTTCTGATTTCGGGATCTACAAGTAAATATCAACATGGCAACAGGTATATTTTGTTTTTACCAATGTCAGATGGTTTATACATATTGGTCTGAATAGTAAGAAAATCAATACACAAACATATATAAAATAACATATTTCATAAGTTATATACATGTATGATGTATATTCATATTTTACACTACACAATACTATTGTTACTGTGAAATAATGCATATACAAAATAATAATATATACAGATCGTCTTAGATTTAAAATATGCTTTCAGATTCTACAACGTGCGTATTTTGTGCGCAGGATATCCAGAATAGGTCCCAATTGTCACTCTCAGAGAGAAAGGGAAGCAACAGTGTTAATTATGCTAGCGATCTGAGGAATTCAAGTATACAAGTATACAAACAATTACAGGCCAAATTGTGCACTAAGACTGTAGAAGGGATTTTATTCACAATAGAAACATTTCAAATAGTTCCAATGTTAAGTGTAACCTAGTTAAAAGACCTTTAAGGTCAAATGCTAATTTTGCTTTTAAGTGTAATTGCTTGTTCTGTGGTAAGCCTGCTAAAGTTGCATCTGGTAAACGTAGATGTTCATCCTGGTAGAAGTTTTGATTTTCAGGAAACACATCGTCGGAACCCACGGTACACATTCCGTATATACTACATTTAATATTTTTAAAGATTATTTGGGAAAAAGCCCGGGGTTTCCGAGGATCAGGAAAAAATTTAAAATCAAATGTTCTGAGAGGGAAAAAATCTGTGGGGAAAAGTTTTTTTAAAAAGACTGTTTTCAGTTTTTTTGGGTTTTTGTCAGATTTGAAAAATTTTTTATTTCAGATCAGACAATAAAAACCCTATATATGGGTTTTTATATTCAAAAGACAAACCAAAAAGTGATTGGAATAAGATTTTTATTTTCCCACCATTTCCTTTCACGGGTTTTTTTCTGGTTTTCTTAAAAATTTTAAAGGGGTTTCCCGGGAAAAAGCTGCCAAAATTTTTATTTTTCAACCCAAAAAAAGAAGAAATTATTACAGGTGGTGAAAAAGCCATGAGGGTTAAAATATATAAATAATTTGAAAAGGGCGAGATTTCACAATTTTTAGTTAAAAACCGTTCAATTTTATCTGTTATTCAAGTTCAAAGCATTCCGCCTACGTCTGATGCTGCGGCGCAACACTCTATACCGTCATATTTTCAACCACAAACATGGATTGGAAATGATAAATTAGACCCAACTGAATGGGGATAGGAACTTCTCTAAGGACTCTTGTACCCGCAAATCTACACAACCCGCTGCTCCAGATTTTCTTTTAAATATTATCAGATGCAATTGCAAAAAATGCCACTCTTAGAGATGTACCTGTCGCAAACATGACCTCGAATGTTCGGTTGGCTGTGGAGAATGTCATTGTATTAGCTGTTCAAACTGACGGTCCATTTCAGATATTGATTTTGCAGACATGGAGGACTAGATCTTGTATCGACACAATGCTCTTAGAACTAAGTTGTCAATTTTTTACCTGTTTTGTATTGAAATGTATTTATATTTTGTGTTATTATTGGCAATGTACATGCATCTGGCATCTTGTTTTTACATAAGCAATAGAGGTTTCACTTTAAGTTATTCATAAAAAACTTTGCAGACAAATATTTCTATATATTGAACAGTCTCATATTCCTCGCGAAGTTAATACAATGTAGCTTGTAATACAAACAAAAGATTTATAATAATACTCTGTTTGCTTGCCATATGAAGTAGTTCTTTAGTATTGTAGTTATACTCTTTTATCCAGTGTCAAATTATACTAAAATTTATGCACAATATTTTATATTGGTGTCTATCACAAAACAATTAACTTGTACTAGCACCAAACTATGCCTATAACATAAATGTAGTAAAATGTTTTTGAAACAATTTAACTCCAAATGTACAATAGTATTGTACATTTAAAGTTAGATTGTTTATTGAATACATACTTATCAATGCTTTCTTATATTTGCTTGTGTTGCGACACACTGTTTTTTTTCCCTCTAATTGTCAATGTCAAAGTTCACCTATTGTAAATAAAAATGTATTACTATACTGTCTGAAATACAGAACGATAATTTCAAATTTATAGAAGTTGACTTATATGTTGTAGACTGTTATGTGTCAGTGCAAGCATGACAATAACCCTACCATATACTTAAAGTGATTTAAGTGTACATATCGATGTGACAAAAATGTAGTTCTTGTGAATGAAACAGCCTGTATATTCGTGTCCTTTATATTTATTATCACTACATTGTTGCTTGCCAAATTAGGTAGCTCTTCGGTACATTTGTACATTTGTAATATAGTTTAATTCCGTGTGTAATGTCAAATTTCAACAAGTGACACTTAAATGTATATACATGTACTACAATTTCTCCATAGAGTATGATAGACCGGGCATAGTATTTTTCATCTGTAGTTTTGGTAATTGTTACTCGCTCTTAATTATGCTTACTTGTTGTTCTTTTTTTTGCTTGAAACAAACAAATTATTCAAAATGCGTTGGATGTTCAGAATGTTAGCTAAACAAAAGTGTACCTGAATTATTTAACATTTATCTAAAACATAATTTACAATACACATGTATGTCCATTTTAATTCATATGAATACAGTTGACATAATTTACAAAGTACTTCTTCATGCATAAATATGTTATTATGTATTGTTTTTACTGTAAATATACATGGAATGGATGATTTGCTGCTTATATATCGGAATTTGACTGGTTAAAAAAAATTAACATAAAGTGGGTGGGGTAATTTGACACCAGTTTGTCATAGAATTGCCCACCAAATTTTTTTTTTAATTTTAAATGCGTAAATTTTTGTATCAACATGGACAAAAATTTGTTTGTATGAAGTTTGCATGTAATAAATATGTTTAACTTATATATAGACGTGTTTTTTTAGTATCATCGGAAATTAACAAATTACGCCGATTTTACAACTGAAATTTAAGGGTGTCAACTTGAAAGCTAGAATTATCACATTTCCCCTTCAGCAAAAGAGTGCAACTTTTTTCCAAATATCAAGCAGATATGGTACCATCATAAAATACCAAAACAAAAACTTTTGCAATTAGTTCTAGGTTAGCTTGATTTTCGGGCTAATTTGACTAGACTATTGTTTATATAGAAAAAATTCCGATAGTGTTAGAATAAGGATTTTGATCTTTCTAAGGCATTTATATTGCCATGCCTTAAATATTCACATGGGTATCAATTGGGTAATTATAGCTGTCCTATCGTACTGCTATGTAATAGAAAGAGCACCGAGACACGAGGCTATCTGATTTGTACGAGGGGGCGTAGCCCCCGAGTATAAATCAGATTGCCGAGTGTTTTGGTGTTCTTTCTCTTTTGTATCATAGTCAAACATGACAGCACGTTCCCTGTTGTCATAATATGAAACCCCAGAAAAAAAAACCAATGAACGAGCATTTGAATATGATATTTTCTGCCCCTTTCCTTTTCTCTGACGTCACAATATGTAAACCCCAGCAAAAATGAACCAATCAACGGGCATTATCTGGAGTGCGGGTAACTGATACCCGCACTCCAGTTACCGCACTGTGCATGTATATGTATACGATTTAACTCTGACACTTTTTCAACAGAAAGGTCCCCAAACTATGATACAAAATCTTCTTACCGTGTAATGTCTCGTTAACAAGTTGAAGTTGTTCCATACCTAGCCTAATTAATTTGGCTGAACGGTTTGACGCATTTTCTGTCGGGTCCTGTGGAAAAAAATGAAGTTGGTTTCTACAGAATTTATTTTAGTTCGATTGTGTAGAATGCTATAATCGATTGTGTAGGAAGCTATAAGGTTATAGACACACTATCGAATCCGTTCCTGGAACCAACCAGTACTGAACAATCAAGGAAACAACGGCTTGCTTCTGGCGAGATTTGAACCATTTCGGGTAGCAATCATTAGATTACTTGTTTACTAGTTCGACGCGTTAATCACTCGGCCATGCCGCCACTGCAATGCAGTTGTTAGGGCATTTGTAAGCTGACTGTCACGAGGTTCATTAGAAGAACGCTTATCCACAGTTAATTCGGTGTGTTTCAGTGAATTTCTGCAGGCAAAATGACACCTAACTGCCTAAGTTTCTAAGACCGTGTACGATCTTTTGCAAAGTTTTAGATTTAATGCCCTTTGCATTTGGCATAGCTACCAAACTAGCAGATATTTGCATTTAACTTCATAAATTGATAGATCACATAAAGGCAAAGGGCAATGCTTCAGAACCATACACATCACTGGTGACGTAACTCTTTTGCATAATTTTGGAGTTATTGCTCTTTCTTACTTTATTTCAATCCAGAATATAACTGAAAGTATTGCCTTAAAAATTTGTAATTTTCACAGCTGTATTCATCTCATCAACGAGCACATTATTTAGAACCAGAACTTGTTTTTATATGATTTTGAAGTTATTACCTAGTTTTTTTTTTCTTGGATCAAAACTTCATACATTGATGGATCTTAAACAACTACACTGTCCAAGAACCATAAATCTCTTTTTGCATAATTTAAGACTTCATCCCCTTAAATAATTTTTTCTATTTAAAGATATACTTGGCTCATCTTTTAGTAAAAATATTTTCATTGCAGAAATTTATTGAAATCTATGAAATTCTTACGATTATGTCTAATTTGAATAATAGAATGCACAAACTGTGTGAAACTGCATTCCCAATTACTAGTGAGTCAAGCGAAGTTAGCCATTTCTTAAAAAACTGCCAGTTTTTTTAATTACACTATGTATTCATACTGTGTCTTTCTGTAGTGTGTAGAGTTTAAAACATTATACACTGTATTGTCAAAACATGTTACATTTGACCTTTTACAAATGAATTGTGTAGCAATTATCAATATTTTCCAACATAATACATTTTTAATATCGTTGGGCCATAAATCTAAAAGTATTATAGGTATCAACATCAAAGTGATATGTGGGCAAATTTTTTTTACATGATGATGGGTCCAAGGTTATAAATTTTTTCTCATAGCTCCGATATTTAATTGGTCAGACACAAGCTAAAAATGTCCTGACAAATGAAAAATTTGGAGTTTTGAGACTGAGCAGGGTATTTTATTCAAATTTTAATCAGCTAAGCAATTATCTACAATTTAAGCCACTGGCCAGCTGACATGTGTTCTTTACTGTTGGCCACCATTAAATTTTTAACATTGACGTGTGTTCTCTCCTTCTCTTGATTTACTTGTTGTATTAAATTTTTCATGTTGATATCCTTAAAATTATTAAAATGGAAGCTGTACAAGTCTTATTTAAGGAATAGTCAATACAGCAGGCATAATAAAGGGATTATGTGTTAAAAAATACTTCAACAAATTGTGTTTGGTTTGCCAAGTATTTATTGACTTGCAGGCTCTACATTATAAAAGGAAACTGCTGAATCATCAAATACCAGACATCAACACCTCTTTATTTACTTGGCAACCTTCTTGTTGTGTTTTTTGCAAATCTCATGTGTTCTTAAAAACTTTGGGTCAACCTGAAAAAATAAAATAAAAACTGTTCATCTCCAAAATCTAAATCAGCTTACTGTGAACATTACAGATATAGTATACATATAAAAGAACTTGTGTAGTTTGTCTTATTGTTGATTCAAGAGTCAAAGAGACTGAAAAAATTGTGATAAAGAATGTCCAAGTTATTTTAAACACATGAATAATATTGTACATGAACAGAGTAAAATGTTCTGAAAGTTCAAACAAAATATTATCCTGCTATTTTAATTAGGATTTTAATTGTTTAACATTGATTTCATGCATACACCATTTACCATTTACCAACATTATCATATTTCTTTTATACTTAATGATTTAAAAAAAAAAATTCGAACAATAATTTGTAAACTACGGGTACAGGTGGCAGGTAAATAGCTTAAACCTTTATTCACTTTTAAGGCCAAAAATGACCTTGATCTTTAAGTTTTGCATCTGAAACCAGAGTTCTGGTTATAATGCAGGGCCTTTTCCAGCTCCTTTCAGAAAAATTTGTTTTGTTTGTTTGTTTCATTTTACGCCTTTTCCCCAACAGTATTTCAGTCATATTATAGGCGGGTAGTTTTCCTAACCATCGTTCCTGGGAGAGTTACACCAGTACTAGACTACCTCCTCCGTGCTAAACTACCAAAGCATCTCCCGGGGATCAAACCCACGTCAGAGAGGTAACTGGATTAGAAGTCATCGACTCTAACCCTCGACCACGGAGGCGGTTTTCCTTTCAGAAAAGATCCTTTGCTTAAATTGAACAATTATGCTGCACTTTGATAATTTGAAAATTCAAAAATGTTGAAAAACAACCTTCAAGTTTATATAGATATTGTATGATCATATAACCTGTCATAACTTTGAAAAATCTAATAATCTGTCTCAAAAGATCAAATAATTTGATATATCTAGCAGTAGGTGGGAATATTTTTTTTTGAAATTGGGAAAAAAGAGGTTATCTTGAACTGGAAATGGTGAAAATGCCCTGAGATAAACATTTAACTGAACATATCATGAAAATCCTACACAGGTAAAAAAATAGACACTAAATTGCTGACAAATCAAAAACTATTTTTTCTCATTTGCACTGAAACTTTTTACTTATTCTCGGAGCTAATTTTAGTTATTATCTCATCCCTGTGATTTTCACCTTATATAACAGAACGAAATTTTTCTTTATGCAGTTCCAAATTATCAATTTTAAATTCTTTCCAAAAAAATCAATTAAGTGAGAAAAACCACTGTTTACATGTGAAACAAGAGAGCCATGATGGCCCTGAGATTGCTCACCTGTATATAAGCCCCGGGCGGGGCCAATTTTAACCCTAGGGCCCTTATATGAACTTGGTAGACATCATTAGCAAGATGTTTCATGCTAAAAATCTTAGCTCTAGCTCTTAAGGTTTTTTAAAAGAAGATTTTTTTTAAGTGCTTTACTATATACATCAAGGGAAAAACAATGACCCCTGGGCTTTTATTTTCAACAAATTTGGTAGACACCCACTAGAAGATGTTCATGCTTGATATCTAAGCCCTAGCTTTTTTTTAGTTTTTAAAAGAAGATTTTTTAAGTTTAAACTATATACAAATCAGGAAAATCAATGACCCCCGGGGCTGGACCAATTTTGAACCCAGGGCTTTTTTATATGAACAAATTGTTAGACACTGACTAGTTGGTGTTTCATGCCAAAAAATTAAAGCTCTAGCTCTTTTGGTTTTTAAAAGAGGATTTTTTTTTAGTTTTTTTTTTCTTTCGGTTTGCCATGGCAACCCGAGTTCTGCATGGAATTAAATTCTTTGAACAATTTTAAGTTGACTACCAAAGGAACAGTCCTGTGAAGTTTCAGTGTGTTTTTTTCCTTATATAACTGATACCGGAAAACGGCACCATTCCCAATAGAACAGGCCTTGACATTAACTTTTTTATTTGGTTGTCCTGTCGGGCAAGTACTTTTGAAAATTACTTGCCCTGACCCAAAGCTTGCTTGCCCTGACCTAAACCGGTAAAGTGTTGAAAACAACCCTACATTTATTAGTAAGTTTTGAGAAAAAAGTGTTGGCAATCTTTGAAAATGGGGTTTATTTATTCTCTAATCATGCATGGGTTTCATTATAAGCCGTACAGGCTATTTTAAGAAATAAAGACATTTTGTGACAAAATCATACTCATATTTTCACTAAAATTGGTTGGAAATAGAAGGAAGGTTAAAAGGGGCTAAATAACATTTTAAAATGTTTTCAGTAATTAAGTTATAAATATGTATTTTTGAAGAAAAAAAAAGTAAAAAAAACCATGGTTATTTTGACAAAAAATCCAAGTTTTGTGCATTTGATATATAACAAGAGCTGTCGGTAGGACAGCACGCTCGACTATTCTAAGTGCTTTATACTTAAAGAGCCTTGATAATGTTAAATTTTCTAAGTTCACAAAAGGGCTAAATTTTTTTCATAAATTCATGTTATAGGCCTTAGAGTCTAATTATACAGTATTGGCTTGACTACTTGGAAGGTAATGTCACAAGGGTGTTTTATTGAGTATAATAATACTAAATACCTATGAATACATAAAATTCACAGAAAACGTACAAAGGCTTGTTATTAAGATGTTTTATCAAGTAAATCACTGCTTTATTATAATGAATGCATAAAATTGTCCCAAAAAAGGCATAAACCCTTCACTAGTTATGGAGATAACAGCTTACATGCAAAACTTTACCATGAATTTCTAAGTTGAACAAGGGTGCCATAGTCACAAAATACGCCCGTTTACGAAAAAGCTTTAGATGGAGATGGGGGCATTATGGATAAGTGTTATCTAGCAAGCAAGTTTTTATTCTTGGCACTGTGTTGTTAAATGAACCTTAAAACAAATCAATAGGGAAGATATGCACAGAATGTGTGACCTTGACCTTGGTCACAGGGACCTGAATTTTATGCACGGCACTCAGCCTCACAATGATGAACATTTGTGCCAAATTATATTTGAAATCCCTCTATGCATGTAGAAGTTTTGCTCCAGACAAGTGTTTTTCTATGAGCTCTAACTGTGACCTTCACCTTTGACCTAGAGACTTGGTTTATGTGCAGGGCACTACGTCTCATGGTGGTGAACAATTCTATAAAAGTAACATTAAAATTCCTCCATGCATGTAGAAAATATGCTCCGGACAACATCTGGATATTTAATCATCTCCAGTGACCTTGACCTTGCAAATATTAACCTAAATTAAATGTGTAACACCTGTAGTCATGATAGTTACCATTTGTGCTACAATCCATCAATAAATGATGACTAAATGGTCCCTATAACCATCTTCAAATTTTTATCTGAACTTTGACCTCTATGTGTAACCTTGACTTTGGTCGCAGGGATCTGAATTTTGCATGCGACACTCAGCCTCACAATGGTGAACATTTGTGCCAAGTTATATTGAAAACCCCCTATGAATGTAGAAGTTTTGCTCCGGACAAGCGTTTTTCAATGAGCTCTAAGTGTGACCTTGACCTTTGACCTGGAGACCTGGATCATGCATGGAGCAATACATATCATGGTGGTGAGCATTTCCATAAAGTATTATAAAAATTTTCCATACATGTAGGAGATATGCTCCAGACAAAATCTGGATATTTCACCATCTTTAGTGACCTTGACCTTGCATATATTGACCTAAAGTACATGTGTCACAGCCGTAGTCATTATAATGACCATTTGTGTTACAATCCCTCAATAAATGATGATTAAATCGTCCCTATACACATCTTCATATTTTTATCTTTTTTTAAACGGCGTATAAAAAGTACATGTAATTTAATAACTAAAAAATTCTGATTTAAGATTTTATTCTAGGGAAATACATTTCATTACAATTCTTAATCTTTTTGAATGAGCTGAACTGATATTTACTTGAAAATTAAAATATAATTAAATTTCTATGAGAAAGTATTTACATTTGATAAGGTAATTACTGTATGATCTTTATGAACAAATACCAAGTCTACAGAACACCATAGTTATCACAGTTAAGTATCTTGACCAATGAATGAAACATGTGTAAATAAATGTTACATTCTTTACAACATACTCAAGTCCAAGAAAGAGGATTATTTCATGCCATTTGATTAAATTCTATTTTTAGAAAAATAGATCAAGGGGAGTAATTGTGTAAGTCATTTATGAACAAAGTAATAACTTTGTTGTCTCCCTTTGATTAAATTCTATTTACAAAATCTGGATATTTCATCATCTTTAGTGACCTTGACCTTGTATATATTGACCTAAATTATATGTTCACAGCCATAGTCTTGATAATGACCATTTGTGTTACAATCCCTCAATAAATGATGACTAAATGGTCCATATACACATCTTCATATTTTTATCTGAACTTTGACCTCTATGTGTGACCTTGACCTTGCCCGCAAGGACCTGAATCTTGCACGCGACACTCCGCCTCACAATGGTGAACATTAGTGCCAAGTAATATTGAAATCCCTCTATACATGTGGAAGTTTTGCTCCGGACAAGCATTTTTCAATGAGCTCTAAGTGTGACCTTGACCTTTGACCTAGAGACCTGGTTCATGTGCGCGACACTGCTCCTCATGAGGAACATTAATATGAAGTTTCATTAAAATCCCTCCATACATGTAGGAGATATGCACCGGACAAAATTGGACGCCGCCCGCCCGCCCGCCAGGGGCGTTCCCATAATACGTCCCGTTTTTCAAACGGGCGTATAAAAAAGGGAAGAAAAATCAGCCTAAATGCAAGATAGAATTATGGATCTTTGTCAGTGACCTACAATTCTGACCCTTAATGCATATGTGAAGTTTTAAATAAATATCTTTAATAGTTATTGAGATATGTAAAACTTGCATGTAAACATTAACCAAGAGAGTAAGTAGAATAGGGGATATGAATCAGCCTTAATGCAAGATAGAGTTATGGAACATGGTCAGTGACATACAATTATGACCCTCAAATTATGACCCTAAGTACATGTGTAAAGTTTCAAGTAAAAATCTTTGAAGACCTTTAACCTTTAACCAAAATTTCTAAGTTTCAAAGGGGCAAATAATTCTGCAAGAGTTATGCAATTTTGCAAAATGATGTACATTGTTACTATAAAAAAGTATTCAGGGTTGTCATTAAAAATTTTTGCAGAAGGTTTTTTTTTAACTTGAGGCGGTCATTTCTGTCTTTATCATGCATAACAAAGAGTGTTTTCTTAATTTTGAGGCGGCCCATTATGCATTTGAGACAGGCATTTTGGCCTCCTGCCGCCTCTTAATGACAACCCTGAGTATTGTAAATTTCAATTGAATATCTCAAGCAATAATTGAGATATTTGACTTTACAAAAAAAACTTCAACCAAAATTTCTAAGTTTCAAAGGGGCATAATTCTGTCAATATTGTAGGCAGAGTTATCAAACTTGTCAATCTGATGTACCTTGTTACTATAAATAAGTATTGTAAATTTCAATTGAATATCTCAAGCAATAATTGAGATATTTGACTTTACAAAAAACTTTAACCAAAATTTCTAAGTAAAAAAGGGGCATAATTCTGTCAATATTGTAGCAGAGTTATCCAACTTGTCAATATGATGTACCTTATTACTATAAATATGTATTGTAAGTTTCAATTGAATATCTCAAGCAATAATCAAGATATTTGACTTTACAAAAAACTTTAACCAAAATTTCTAAGTTAAAAAGGGGCATAATTCTGTCAATATTGTAGGTCGAGTTACCCAACTTGTCAATCTGATGTACCTTGTTACTATAAATAAGTATTGTAAGTTTCAATTGAATATCTCAAGCAATAATTGAGATATTTGACTTTACAAAAAACTTTAACCAACGCAGACGCCGACGCGGACGCCACGGCGACTACAATAGCTCTCATATTCTTCGAATAGTCGAGCTAAAAATCACTTAAATATAGTACTTTCTTCATAAAAGAATTTTTATAAAGTTGTGGACAGAAACTTTGTGTTTTTTTTTTTGTGTTTACCACATCTTAAGTCGCAAAAATATGTGACAATTTCATTTACCGATTTTGTTTCTAAATTTACATCTTTTTTCCTTGTGGATATGTCTCTGTATCACATTTGCAGATGATTTGTTATTATTTTCACAATTATCTACAGTGTAAGAAATTCCGATTTGAATCCACTAGGCTGGCCGGACTACCAGATTGGAATATTCACTAGCCCAAAAGACATTTCACTAGCACGATTCATTTGTTCAAAACAGTTGTTTATATTTACTCTGAAAATACAGTAGCCTGGTCGGGCTTGTTACTGTGAAAAGTTGGTAGCCCGAGGAGAAATTTAGTAGTCAGGGGCTATAGGACTACTGCTAATTTCGAACACTGTATCTACAGGAGAAACGTTTTTTCTTTGAGGATATACGATAAATTTTAGATTTTAACGGCAAAAATAAACAGCCAGAAATCGGCAAATGTTTATACGGCTAAATTAAACTAAGTTCAAGGCTGTGATTTGAACTTTAACAGGGTTTGAACACCTTTAATAAGAAGAGGTGTTGACACAATTAATAATGTTAATCAAGTTTTGACATATTCATCAGACAACCGGATAGTCTGTGTACATGTACAATTGCCCCCTGTGAGGTTCGTTATTTATCGTCTTCACAAATGTGATCCGTTCTAATTAAGTCTAATTAAGATTGAAATTGTAATTTGCAAGGATTATTGGTCATAATATAGGAATTTTATATGTTTACTTATGATTTTTTTCACTTGCCCTGTCGGACAAGTTCTTTTGAAATTCACTTGCCCTGACCAAACTTTTGGTTGTCCCGGGCAGTCGGACAACCGTTAATGTCGAGCCCTGTAGAAAATAGACAACAAATTTCCCAATTCATGACTGATACATTCCCAAAATAACACTGAAAATTTCATCAAAAAAAACGGCAAATTTAAAGGTAAACAAAAACAGTAATGCCATTGATGAGAGATATGCGATAAAAACCAAGTATAACTACATGAGTGATATTCGTACCCAGTAAATTCGTACTTTAAGCGTTTCACACCTTAACATTTTTATGATTATCAATTTTTTTTTTCAACCGCAAGTAGCAAAAATAATCATTTAAGTTAATATTACATGGTTTTAAAGTGTATATTATGCATAATTTTTAGTCTCCCTGGATAAAAAAAATTCCCGAAGAATATTTTGCATCCTCTGTAAAATTCCCAATTTGAGTCAAACCGATGGATTTTTTTTCCTAATCTGTCCGTACTGGCAACATTCCCAAAGTAGTGGAAAATAACACTGAGTTTGGATGAAATTGGCTTAGCAGTTTATGAGGAGATGTCGTTTTAAGTAAAAGTTTACGGATGGACGGTCGGCTGCCGGACGAAAAGCGATCACAAAAGCTCACCATGTCACTTTGTGACAGGTGAGCTAAAAAAGCAGACTAGAATTAACAAAACTTTAAATAGACCAACTTACTCCTTTATTATCTGGACATCTTTGCTTTTTGGGTCTGTGGATGCCATTTCTGTGGTGTTTCTTGTCTGGAAAAGAGATATCCAATGATAATTTATCATTTATATAAAATTGATACAATTTTAATTTTGGAAATAATATTTGTCTTGATTGATCAACACCTTAAAACTTTAAACTTCTACACTAAATCACTTTTTTGTTCTCAGTCCACTACAACAGCATGATTTTAGCAGCCATAATTCTAACAACATCAGGAAATTCACAGACAACTACAGACAAAATACAGGATCTTGATATATCTTCATAGCTTGTTTAATAATTTGCCATGTTGAACTGTGTTGAGTTGGGTTAACTGCTGAGGTGAACGTTTACCATTATCAATTACCATCAGTTCCCATGCATAATCTGTTTTTTTTTTTTTATAACTGGCACACATACGACGAAAACCCTGTTAACCTTTCGGGGAAAAAATTTTTAAATAGTTTTTGTTTTAATTTGGACTTTTAAACTGGGCGAAAGGTGCAAAAAAAATGTTCTTTAAACCCCAAAACTGATATAAATTGAACAAAATTTAAAAAATAGGGGACTGTGGGCCCTTTTCCCAAAATGAGAATATCAGGGGAAAATCTCTGTATTTTTTAACAAGTCTAGGTTTTCATAAATTTTTTAGGGAAACTGTCCGAAAATTTTTATAGACAGTCTAAAAAATTTAAAAAAGTTTTTTTCAACCCTAAATTTTACAGATTTTCAAAAATGAAATTTTGTTTTTTTTTAGTTTACAAAAAAAAATCGGGAAAGAAAAGGAAAAAGGTTTTTTTTTAAATTGGGAATTTTTTTAAAATTTAAAAGGGTTTTAATGGGGGGGATTTTTCATCTTTTAGGGATGTTTTTTTTAAAATTTTTTTTTAAAAAGTAAAAATTTTAAAAGTCGTAAAAAACTGTTTTTAAAATTTTAAACCCAAACGTTACTTTAAAAAATCATAAAATTACCAAACCTTTTTTCAGGGTTAAAACCTGGGGTTTTTTTAAAAATTTAAATAAAAACCTTCTACTATTTTTCTTACTTTATTTTCTTTTAAAATTTAAAAGTTTAAAAAAAAAAATCTGAAAAAAATTAAATAAAAATTGTTAAAAAATTTTTCGGGGACTGTCCGTAAATAAAATTTTAAAACCCGGGGCCCTGTTTAACAAAAGTTTCTTTACCCCCAACAATACACTTTTGGGCAAAAAAGGGAAATTTTTTTAAATTTCCCCCATTCTTTGATTAAATTTTTAATTTTTTAATTTTTGGCAGCAAAAAATTTAATGCAATATTTGGGTTTGGGGAAATTTGGTGTAAATTTTTTGGGGATTTGGCCCCTTTTTCAGTTTCGGGGATTTTTGAAAAATTCCTGAAAGTTAAAAAACTTTGGGGAAATTGATTTTTTTTTATTTTAAGCAAAAAAAACCCATAGCCAAAAAATAGTTAAACCCAAAAACTAAGTGGGAAACTTTTTAAAACGCTAAATATAATAAATAAAAGGCTTAATAAAAATTTTTTTATAAAAAATTAAAAATTTCCCACCTCTTTAAAAGTAAATTTTTTTGTTTAATTTGTTTTTCTTTTTAATATTTTTAAACAAAATAATGGACTAGTTATATGAAAAAAAAGTCTATTAAACTATAAATTTAAAATTTTCCCAAAAAGGAATCAAAAAAGTTTACAACTTTTGCAGTTTTTCGTTTGGGGTTTTTTACAAAAAAAAAATTTAAATGTAAACATAAAATTTAAAAAAATATCAAAACCGGAAAAGGGAAAATTTCCTGATGGTACTAGGCGCGTATTAATTCTAAAATCAGACGGTACCACTAAAATACGCAACGGAAGATTTTTTGGCGCAACGGACGCAACGGCGCAACGGAGATATTTTTTTTTAGAAAAACCGCCACAACGCCTTTTTTAAAGTCAATTTGCTATATTTAAGCATCTAAATGGATGATTGTTTAGCACTATTAAGTAAGTATGTTTTAAAATGTTTCATAAATTGTTTATGTTTAATTGCACTGAAGGGTTTTATGTCTGGCGAAATGGAAATTTCATGGCGCAACGGAGATATTTTTTAGAAAAAACCGACACAACGCCTTTTTTAAAGTCAATATACTATATTTGAGCATCTAAAATGATTGTTTAGCACTATAAAGTAAGTATAAAAAAAATATCTCCGTTGCGCCCGTTGCGTCCGTTGCGCCAAAAAATCTCCGTTGCGTATTTTAGTGGTACCCAAAATCAGAGCCGGAAACCAGGAAGTATTTTGGTCACATGACAGCTGTCAAAAGCTAAAAGTGATGTTTGAACTGCAAAAAGTTAAGAGCTTCTCTGAAGAAATATGTTCTTACGTTTCTGAAAGACGAGACAAACATAATGTTCCAAGCACCACTTCTGACAATCGTTAGTATTCCTCCCGAAGTATAATTTCGCTAGTTCTCAAGACATTCGTCCCCGTAATTATCGTAACCTTTTTCTGGACTGAAGATTACTGAACAATTAATTCATATGCATATAAAATGTTTGTTATACATACATTTCAAAATGTTAAAGCCATTAACTTCAATTTTAATTTTATATCTTATATAATAAAAAAAATGTTTACTACAATGATTTTTTTATTCATTTGAAGCCAGCATTATATTTTTATGCATCCATGTAAGAGCATGAGAATTGTGGAACCAAGGTATATTGATGCAGGATCCTGCATCCTGTAAATCCCTAATTTCATGAGAGATTCGAAAAAGGCAATAGGATATGTTAGGGCAATATGGTTATAATTTTTGGAGTATTACACCGGCTTTGCAGTGTCCGGAAAAATTTTGTATTTATTTCTGACCAGGTATGCTTTTTTATTTTCCCAAAAAAGGGTTTTTTTAACAGAATTTTAGGGAGATGTTTTTTAAATCATACTTTACTGTAAAAAGTGTATGATTTAAAAAAAGCTAACCCATTTTACCATACTAATTTTGGCTTATTTTAAGTTTTGTATGCTTAATGTACATGTTTTTTTTTTTTTTTCTTTTTCCAGAAGTAGCTGGGAGTTTTAAATCAAGGGGAAAAGATGGGTGTGTTTTTGTCCACAGGGGGATAAATGTGTCAGATGCAAAGTGGGGAAAAATTTTGGGGAAAACTTTAAATTAATGCTTTTCATTTTTTAAAGGCCCAAAAATTTTTTGGTTTTTTTATATTTTAAACAATTTTTTTTTTGTAAAAAAAAATTGATGTTTTATATAAACCATTTTTCCTAATATGCCCTAAAACTTCCTGGAATGAATAGGAGAGTTTTTCAAAAAAAAGTTTTTAAATTTTTGGGGCTGAAAAGAAATATGTTTAGATAAATATAAAGGTCTTTTTTTATGCTGGACTGAGCTGCTTTGCAAATGTACTTGTAGACACTTGGATTAATCTTTCGTTTTAAATGTGTGATCTTTAAGTAGGCCTACAAACAGTCCCTTAACAGAGGTTTGACATATTAATTTGTTTGCTATTTTTAATGAATCAAAAATACAAAATGTGCAAAATATCTTTAATAATGACTAGATGATAAGATTGAATATTATTGTTCAAACAGTAACAATTTTAAGAATAAAAAAAAATGTGGAATGCCTATGAATTTGATTTTAGGCATAAGAGAAATTTGGTACATTCAGTTTTGAAGCTTTAATCTAATTTGCTTCAATATATATTATCAATATTGTTTATTTTCATGGGTGGGCCATGGTTCAACACACTTGGTTGTACAATCCAGCAACTGCGTAAACTCAGGTATTTATACTTTTAGACACAGATGGCGTGATATAGAAAACTGAAAATTTCTTATATCACTTGCATTTTTAAACACATTTCATAGTGTCAATAGTGCACTGATATTAAAGGGGACTCCACTGTCAGTTTAAAAAGCCTAAAAAACATAAACATTTGAATTTCTTAAACATAAATGAAGCGCCGACACTCTTTAAACAGAAAATATATGCAAAGATAGTTAAGAAATATACTTTGAAATAAATTGGAAATAAATATTTTTATGCTTTTTTCTTAACGCCCATTTGATGAAAAGAGTTTTTAAAAACGCTTTTTTGTTTGGGTAATTTTTTTTCCCAAATGGTTGAATAATTTATTCTGAAAAAAAACCCAAAAAAAGTGCGCGATTTGATTTTGAAAATTGTTGCAAACAAAGATTATGCGTCTAAAACCTTTCATTTTCAAATGGTACATTTATATGGGAAAAATATTTCAGAAATTTTAAACTCCCCATTCATGTCAAAAAAAAACCCCAGGGAAAAAAATCCCCTTTAAAAAGTGATACTGTAGTTCTTGGAAAAATTTTTTTAGTGATAATAGTAAAATGAAATTTTTTTTAGTGTATATTGGGGAAATTTAAATTTTATAGTGATCATTTAACTGAAAATTTAAAAAGTGATTTTATAGTGATATATTTTAAAAAAGAAAATTTTTAGGGGAAATTTTGGGGTTATAAAAAAAGTTTATTTTGAGGGGGGGGGGGAAACCCTTTAAAAAAAAACATATTTTAAATGTTGGGTTAAAGTTTTAATTTTTAAATTTTACAAGCAACCCAGGAAAAAATTGGAAAAATTTTAAAATTTTTAAATGGTAGATTTTAAAAAAAATTCTATTTCTTTTTTTTTTTTACAAAAATTTTTTTGTTTATTAGGAATGCTTTACATAGCTTTTTTAGTTTGAAAAAAAAAAAATGAAGTCATTATAGTTTTGTTTTAAATTTTTGAAATTGAAATATGACAAATTTAAAAACAAAGGATATCGTAATTTTAAAATTTTCTGGGTTTTTAAAATTTTTTTAAAAACCCCCCTTGGTTTGTCTGTCGGTTTTGTTGGCCAATTGTTTCCCGTTGTTTTTTAAATAAAAAAAATTTTCTTTGATTTTAAATTTAAAATTTTGGGACATTTTTGTTTTTTGTTTAAATTTTTAAGGGGTTTTCATATATTAACCCGCGGGTTTTTGTTTGGTCCTGCTTTTTATAAAACCAAAAAGGAAAAAAAGGGCAAATTTATGGGGAATTTTAAAATTCTCTTGAAAAAAATTTTTAAAACCCTTTGGGGTTACAAAGGATTTTCATAAAATTTTTGGTTAAAAATTTTTAACCAAAACTTTTTTTTTGGGCTGTTTGTATGTGGGCCAAAATTTTTTTCCGTTGTAGAACTTTTTTTTCTCTTTTTCAAATTTTTTTTTCCAAAATTTTGTTTAAACTTAAAAAAAAAAAATATTAAAATTCCAAAATTAAACCCAAATTAAAAATTAACATGGAGGGTAAATAATATAATATATAAAAGTCTGTGACATTATAAAAAAAACATTTGATGGGATGTTTTTAACCCAACCCCGTATTTTGGGGCTTAAATTTTGAAAGAAAATTTTGTTTTTTTCTTGCTTTAAAAAAGTGGGAATTAAATTTAAAAATTCAATTTTTTTTTTTCTCGGTTTTTTATTACAGGGGTTACTACAATGCAAAAAAAGGTAATTTAAAAGGGGGCAAGTGCAGACAAAAGGGGCTGGAAAAGGGTTTTAAAATTTAGGCAATGATGAAAAAAAAAAGAAAATTTTATAAAAATTTAAAAATTTAAAAATTAAAAATTTTTAAAAGGGCCAAAGTTTAATGCTTTTTAAAAAAAGCTTTTTGGGCTTTTGTAAAAATTTTTAAAAATAACTTTTAAAAAAGATTTTTTTTAGGTTAAAGAAAGTGAAATTTTTTCCAATGAAAAAATTTCACTTTAAGGGGGCGCAAATAGTGGGGTGTTTAGGTATATTTTTTTTGTTATATTTTTTTTTCCCCCTTTGTAAAAATTTCCACCATGGGTTTAAAAAAAATGGTTGAAGACTTGAAAAAAAATTAAAATAGTTTCATGGGAAAGGGGAAAAATTTTTTTTCCAAAAAACCAAGTTTTTCCGTCCAAAATTTTTGACTTAAGGTGGGGTTTTTTGCTAAAAAAAAAATAAAATTTTAAACAAAAGGATTTTTAGGGATTCTCATTTGGTTTATGTTATAAAAACCAAATTTTTAAAAAATAAAACAGTATAAAAAAGGGAAAAAGGAAAAAAAGAAGGGAAACGGGCTGGGAACCCCAAAAAAAGAATTTTACGTTTTAAAAAACAAATACCTTTATTAAGGAAATGATTTTCGTTGTAAAAATGGGTTTAAAATGGTTTAAGCTAATTTTTTGTATAAACCCATAAAAAGTGAAAAAGTTAAAGGTTTTAAAAAAAAAGTTTTTGGTGAAAAACAAAAAAGTTTAAACTGTCAGGTAAAATACAAAAAAAAACATAAATATAAAAAAAGTTTAACCCCAAAAAAAAGTTTTTGTTACTTTTTTATTTTTTGGAATTGAGAAAATAGTGCGTACCTGGCAGAGTTTTAAAACCCCAGGGGTTTTCCCCTGTATTTTCCCCCAAAAATGGGGGGGGGGCCCCGGGCAAATTTTCCCAAAATTGCAAAATTTTTATATTGGGGGGATAAACCCCGGAGGGGAAAGAGGGGCATACATGCTGGTCAGCTTCCAAAAGAGGTGTAAAGGGTTTTTTTCCCCTTTTTTCTCTTTTAAACTTAAACAACCCCCTTTAAAAACTAAATTTCTATACATAATGTTTCTTGGGGTTTTCAAAAATTTTTTATTTTTTTTATGCTTTAGTTAAATTTGGGGGAAATTGAAACCCCCTAAATGTTCCCTTTTTAAAGACATGTTTTTTTTAAACATTTTTTAAAAAAAAAAACAAAAAAAAAATGCCAAAAAATTTTAATTTTTTTTTTATAAAAGGATTTTTCTTTTAAAAAAATTTCATTACAAAAAGTTCCCCCTTCATAACCCCTTTAAAATTTTAAAATTTTGCCCCAAACTGAAAAGATAAATGAATTATGAAAAAGTATGAATAGATTGTACATGTATTTTGAGTTATTGGATGTACTTATTGAAAACTGTTGCTTGAGATATTTTTTGAGAGAGGATTCCTGAGTTTAATAATATTTTATTGTGTACAAAAACATGTAATTGTGTATAGTGCCAAACACAAATGAACCAAGATTTTACATAAGGAGGCAGCTCACAGTAGGCCAAAATGACAGTCTTGAATGCATTTTGGTCACCTCAAAACTTAGAAAACACACTTGGTTATATGTGATAAAACCAAAAATAACTGCCTCAAATTTAACAACCTGTCTCAGAAATTTTTCTTGAATGACAAGCCTGAAATTAAGAAAAAATTATATTTTATAATGGAAGATTATACATGTAATGTATGTGGCCAAAAAATAATAACATATTTAAGCCATGCCTTAAGATGATTTTTAAATGCATCTTACAGAAATCAATAGTTTACTTTTCAAAAGCATATTTATTCCAGTACACTGTTTTAGATAAATATTTTTTAAACACCACTCAATGCCAACTGAAGCAAGACATTTAAAGTCTGCATCAAAACATTTTTGTCTTTCAGCTATTGGTCTGTACAAGATTCCTTTGGCGAGAGTGGCTACAGGAATGGTAAGTTAGTTAACATGCTCTCTGCATTACAAATATATGTTGCATAACATTGAAATTGAGATATGGTAGCTATGACTGTCTTTATACAGTTCAACCTGTGCAGAGTGACCCTGTGTAGAGCACTTCTTTAATTATAACAACATAATCTGATTTTCCAGAAGTAGGATTTCACTATAAATTTAACCTCTGTAGAGCTATACCCTCACCAGCAGCCAATAACATTGTCTTATAAAGGTAGTTGCTATGTACAGGCTTTACTGTATTTGTTAAATGATCCATACTGCATAATAAATTGGCGACTTATTTAATCTTCCCAGTAAACAAGTTCTTATATGAGATTAATGATAGGAAATTTATTTGAATTAACTATATATAAAATTAAGGAGTTTTCTTGGTTGAAAAAAAAACAACCTTATTTTATGAAAGAAAATGATAAAGTTTTTTTCTATTTCAAAGAAAAAAGGAAATAGAAAGTTCCTTTTGAAAGAAAAATGATGTTTTGAAAGGTTTTTTGTCTTTAACAAAAATTATATATAAAAGTTTTATTGGTTGACAAGATCAATTTTTAGCTCACCTGTCACAAAGTGACGGGGTGAGCTTTTGTGATCGCTTTTCGTCCGGCGTCCGTCCGGCGTCAGTCCGTCGTCCGTCCGTAAACTTTTACTTTAAATGACATCTCCTCATAAACCACTAAGCCAATTTCATCCAAACTTCACAGGAATGTTCCTTTGGTGGTCACGTTTAAAAATTGTTCAAAGAATTTAATTCCATGCAGAACTCTGGTTGCCATGGCAACCAAAAGAAAAAACTTTAAATATCTTCTTTTAAAAAACCATAAGAGCTAGAGCTTAGATATTTGGCATGAAATATCTTCTAGTGAGTGTCTACCAAGTTTGTTCAAATAAAAGCCCTGGGGTCAAAATTGGCCCCGCCCCGGGGGGTCATTGATTTTCCCTATATGCATATAGTAAAAACTTAAAAAATCTTATTTTAAAGAACCCATAGAGCTAGAGCTAAGATATTAAGCATGAAACATCTTCTAATAGATGTCTACCAAGTTTGTTCAAATAAAAGCCCTGGGGTCAAAATTGGCCCTGCCCCAGGGGGGTCATTGATTTTCCCTATATGCATATAGTAAAAACTTAAAAAATCTTATTTTGAAGAACCAAAAGAGTTAAAGCTAAGAAATTTAGCATGAAACATGTTCTAATAAGTGTCTACCAAGTTCTTCAAATAAAAGCCCTGGGGTCTAAACTGGCCCCGCCCCGGGGGGTCATTGATTTTCCCTATATGCATATAGAAAAAAACTTAAAAAACTTCTTTTAAAGAACCCAAAGAGCTAGAGCTAAGATATTTAGCATGAAACATGTTCTAATGGGTGTCTACCAAGTTTGTTCAAGTAAAAGCCCTGGGGTCAAAATTGGCCCCGCCCCGGGGGGTCATTGATTTTCCCAATATGCATATAGTAAAAACTTAAAAAATCTTCTTTTAAAGAACTCAAAGAGCTATGGCTAAGATATTGAGCATCAAACATGTTCTAATAGGTGTCTACCAAGTTTGTTCAAATAAAAGCCCTGGGGTCAAAATTGGCCCCACCCCAGGGGGTCATTGATTTTCCCTATATGCATATAGTAAAAACTTGAAAAAATCTTCTTTTAAAGAACCAAAAGAGTTAAAGCTAAGATATTTAGCATGAAACATGTTCTAATAAGTGTCTACCAAGTTTGTTCAAATAAAAGCCCTAGGGTCAAAATTGGCCCCGCCCGGGGGATCATTGATTTTCCCTATATGCATATAGTAAAAACTTAAAAAATCTTCTTTTAAAGAACTCAAAGAGCTATGGCTAAGATATTTAGCATGAAACATGTTCTAATAGGTGTCTACCAAGTTTGTTCAAATAAAAGCCCTGGGGTGAAAATTTGGACCGCCCTGGGGGTCATTGATTTTCCTTATATGTGTATAGCAAAAACTTAAAAAATCTTCTTTGAAAAAACCCAAATAGCTAGAGTTAAGATATTAAGCATGAAACATCTTTTAGTGAGTGTATACAAAGTTTGTTCAAATAAAAAACCTGGGGGTCAAAATTGGCCCCGCCCGGGGGATCATTGATTTTCCCTATATGCATATAGTAAAAACTTAAAAAATCTTCTTTTAAAGAACTCAAAGAGCTATGGCTAAGATATTTAGCATGAAACATGTTCTAATAGGTGTCTACCAAGTTTGTTCAAATAAAAGCCCTGGGGTGAAAATTTGGACCGCCCTGGGGGTCATTGATTTTCCTTATATGTGTATAGCAAAAACTTAAAAAATCTTCTTTGTAAAAACCCAAATAGCTAGAGTTAAGATATTAAGCATGAAACATCTTTTAGTGAGTGTATACAAAGTTTGTTCAAATAAAAAACCTGGGGGTCAAAATTGGCCCGGCCCGGGGGTCATTGATTTTCTTTATATGTGTGAAGCATAAACTTAAAAATCTTCTTTGAAAAAACCCAAATAGCTAGAGTTTAGATATTAAGCATGAAACATCTTCAAGTAAGTGTCTACAACGTTTGTTCAAATAAAAGCCCTGGGGTCAAAACTGGCCCGGCCCCAGGGGTGTCATTGTTTTTAACTATACATGTATATGTATAGTAAAAACTTTAAAAAAATCTTCTTTCAATAAAGCCAATTGAGCTAGAGCTTAGTTAGCATGAAACATCTTCTTATGGGTGTCTACCGAGTTTGTGCAAATAAAAGCCCTTAGGTTAAATTGGCCCTGCAACGTTGGGGGGTGGGGGGCCTATATACAGGTGAGCGACCTCAGGGCCATCATGGCCCTCTTGTTTATTATATGATTGAAAAGTTATGACAGTATATTCAAGCTAGAATAGTCTGATCATGTTCTTTACAACCGACTGCTGAAACAGCTTGAATCTTTGCAATTTTTATAGAAATTCCATAAGCTATACCGGACAATTTCATTATTTAAAGTCAATGAGGAATGAGTTAAAATGCATTTTTATAATCTTGCTAAGTCATTTTATTCAGGTAATGCGAGGACAGCCAAAGACCGAGCAGGTGGCTAAGAAATTCACATGGTGCCAATGGGACTGCCAGAATCAACAGTTATTCTATATGTTACACCGTCGAGATGGCAACAATATCAAACAGCATTTACTGTCATGTGTACAGTTCTACAATAATGCCACACATGATCATGTGGTGAGAATTCATATAAATCTTACTAATCTTACTAATCTGTAATGAACTGCCGATTTTGTGACTCCGAAAAAATGGTATTGCACGGCCATGCATTATATTTTGATGTGACGTCATAATAGTTATACAAACATAGTGTAAAGACGTGCTAAATGTTAGCGTTATACTATAAGCGCACAAATGAAAAATGATCTTTTTTCACTTAAGACGGTCTTTGTTTTGGGTATGTGATAAAAAGAATATTATATTCGTGTAAGTTCGTTACTGAATTTATTAAACTTGTTGAATAAAATAATATTATGCTTGCCAGAGGCTCGCATAATATAATTTTATTCAACTCGTGTTATAAATTCAGTTTTGAACTTACACTCATTCAATATCCTTTATTTACTTAATAACAAATTGTCTAATACCACATTGTGTAGCTCATTATGTTATTTTGAAGCTTTTCATATAAAGACATAAGTTGTCCATCGGTACATTATTTCAGGTACATGTATATTCAGCATTTTGATAGGTCTGCAAACCCTGTTTAAGCTATAATGTTGGTTAGAGGATAAAATTAAAACCAACAGTGCTTAAGGCCTTAATCTTATTCACAAACCATTATCTATCTGCCACTTGGGCCCTTAAGACATCAACTGGTTAAATTAATAAATTATCACAAATTTGAAAATGAAATATGAAACAAATTTCAACAACTTGAATAGGAACGCTATTTAAAAAAAACTGTATATTTTTAATGCATATCTATTGGGAATGAAGAGATACTGTGATATTGTTGAATTATTAGTGAGGTAAATTAGTTTTAATCAGTATTAAAAATGTACTAGTAATTTTCTTCTTCATTTATTTTAGCTGGATGTTCCACTTAATTTCCCTGTTGCTTCCAAATCCTCAGGCAGGTAAGATGTGTAAATATCTTTTTTCTTGGGCATCTTAGCTCTTAATCTGAAGAACTCGAAACTAATTGGCTTTGGCCACCAGTATACAGCCCCGCAAGCCTACACATCCAAGTATGCTCAGGCTTTATACTGTCTGTAGACTAATGTCAAATTTTCATCTTGATATAATTAATAATGGACAGTTCTACAAATAGAAGCTGGACCAGTACATTATAAAAATTAGGCAGGTTAAGGGTTGGTATAGGAGAAAAAAAACTGTATCTCTTGCTTGTTTTGTAAATAAAAAATGATCACACACAATTCTGTTCTTTCTATAAATGTTTCATTACTGAAATAAGGAAACACTATATTTCTTAGATTAACTTTTACCTTTGTAGACCATTACAGTAATTATGGCATGGTTATTACCTATTGAACAAGAAAAAGACACAAATTGATGATTTAGTTGTAATAAAACTGTCTGTTTTGTTTCAGATGTTACTATGCCGATATTCCTCTACACAATGGAATACCTGACACAAGTATGAATATTTGTGTGTTAACACAGAACACTGGTACATTCTGTATATGTTATCAGCAACAGGTGCTGGCATCAGACAGGAGAGCCAAGTCGTCCCCTCTACCACGAACATCACCTCTACAAAGAAACTCTCCGTTACAACATTCCTCACATTATCAGGTATATTCATTATGTTGTTATGTTACTAAATTGAATATTTTAAATGCTGCGGTTACTGATG